ACAGGTGGGACAGCAGGGACAGGTGGGAGCAGCACCCTGCCCCGCCGCCCCTGCAGCCCCTCACCCAGGCCTGTCGTCTGCCCCCGCAGTACTTCAAGAAGCAGAAGCGGCTCATCCCCGAGCGGACGGTGTGGAAGTACTTCGTGCAGCTGTGCAGCGCTGTGGAGCACATGCACTCACGCCGCGTGATGCACCGAGGTAGGCCAGAGCTGCGGGGGGCCGTGCCCGGGGCCCTGCATGAGCTGCTCGACTCCTGCTGCTTGGGCAGCCCCGCGAGGAGGTCGGAGCAGTTAGAATTCCCCACATGCAGGCCCGCTGTTGGAGACCTCTGGTGCCGGGTTCACATGAGCCCCGGAGCACGGGCCATTCCTGGCACGCTGCCTCGTCTCTAGGCCAGTACATGGCACCCGTGAGCCAGCAGAGGCAGCTCCAGTGCTGCTGCCAGGTGTGGGCTTTTCACGTGGGCTTTGACATCGGGGTAGGGGTTGACTGGGCAAAGGAGCTGAGGCACCTGCAAAGGAGTGCTTCCAGTTGTGAGGGGAGAGCCACGGAGGCCAGCGGGGGCTGGGGACCTGAGGTAGGTCACGCCCCGGTTCCTCGTCATTCACCCGTGTTTGTCAGCGTCTGCCGTGTGCCGAGCACGACCCTGTCACTGCAGGCAGCCCAGGTTACCTCACCAAGTGCTTCGTTCACTGTTACCCGGGGTCCCACCGAGTGCGTGCCCTGCGCTAGGCCGTCCTCAGCACGGGGTGCAGCTGCAAAAGAGGACGCAGCAGTGCAGACCCGCCTCCGCACCCCAGCAGCCCTCTAAAGCTGTGAAGGCGAGGCTGCCAGCTCAGAAGGGCGGCAACTCCCCACAGTCCCACAGCCAGTGTCCTGAGGGAGCAGGACTCGGGCCAGGCCTGCCCATCACCTGCCTCCTGTCCCACCTCCTGCCTCCTGTCCACCCCACCCACCCGCTTCTGTCCTCACACCAACCTCTTCTTCCTCTGCAGACATCAAACCCGCCAATGTGTTCATCACAGCCACAGGTGTCGTGAAGCTGGGGGACCTCGGGCTGGGCCGCTTCTTCAGCTCTGAGACCACAGCAGCCCACTCCCTAGGTAAGGGGGTGCTCTGGGGCGGGGCCAGCCTTCTCCCACACACCTGTGGTTAGTGCGGGAAGAGGCCTTTGGAGCCCCAGCTTGACCCATCTACTCAGAACAGCGACCCAGATCGGAGTGATTGAACCTGAGGAGCACTGGGGCTCCCTACACTCCTGCCACTCTCCGGCCTTTCCCAGAAAGGCTGCCCAGTCCATGCTCGGAGCGGGGAAGAGTGTCTGGTACCTGGTGGTCACTCCGTCTTCCCCGGCTGGGTGGAGTTCCAGGACTACCGCCCTTGGCCCGAGGTGGCCACCCCAGGGTGGGCGTTGGAACTGCCTCCAGTTTGGGGCCTGTGCAGTGTTAAAGCCGTGGGGCCTGGTGCTCACGCTGGCTGGTCCGTGAAGGGTGACTAGGAGCGGGTGGGACAGAGGCGGGAATAGAATGAGCAGAGGTGCAGAGGCTGAGCGGCGTTTTGTCTGCTGCAAAGTGAGTGGGGTCAAGAGGGTAGCAGGAAAGGTGGGGGGGCGTGAGGGGAGGGACATGGTGGGTGGGGCCACCCTGTGGGCCCAGCCCAGGACAGGGGAGGGCTGCTGAGGGGTGGGACTGGGGAAGAGCCTGGCCAGCTGTGTATCTCACATCTTGTGAAGCAGAAGTGAACTTTAGAATTCATTTGGCGGCGTGTGACTGAGTGTGAAACGGGGTGATGAACGATGACGAGTTTTATTTTGTTAAGATATAGGAACCAACAAAGCCTACCAGTGGGACTCAGAAAGGGGGTCTCCTGTGCATTACGAAATGGTGTCAGGGTTTCTCTGTGGCTGTACTATGGGACCCTGAGTGGGTAGGGGCCTCTGGCTTTCCCCAAAGCCAGTTCCAGCTATTTGAGGTGCATTTGCACAGGACGGTGCACCCCGTGGGCCGCTCCAGCCCTGGGCACCCACTCCCTGTGGGAGAAGAGGTAGCCGGGTCGGTGTGTGGGCTCCTGACTTCCCTGAAAACCCCTCTGTTCACCCATCTGCACTCCACCCCTGGCTCAAGCCATGGTGTCTCCCTTCTCCTGACCTCCGAGTACTTGTGGCAAGCCACGTGTGCAGCTAGCATCTCCTGGTGACGGCGAGCTGCTTTCTAGAAGATACACTTTCCTATGGACGCTGTCACCACTCGTCCAGGTCCCATGGCCTAGCAGCTCTGCGCGTGCAGCACAGTTAGGAGAGACAGACCAGTCAAGGTTAGCAGCTCCCTTGCCTGCAGGGAGCCCTCTCCCCTGGGCAGCCCTGAGCTCTGCCTTTAACTCCCAAGAGAAGGACTTGTGCTGTGTGCGGACCCTCCTCCAGGGAGCTTATGAAGGTCCCTTCACGCCTCCAGTAGCCGGGAGGAGCCCTGGATCCTTCCCTCTGGCAGAGGAGGAATCTGAAATCTGGGAGCTTGAGTGAGTTTTCCCATCCCACAGCAGCTGAATCAGGATTGGGGTCTGGTGTCCGCCAGAACTGCTCGTTCCTGAAAACCAGGCCGGGCCTGGGAAGAGTGTTGGAGCTTCCCTCAGGGAACTGGGCCACGGACGCTGCTGGAGGGAAACCCGTCTTTCTCGGTCCCCTCAGATCCTTCTCTTGCAAAAACCAGTGTTTTGGTCACTTTGAGACTGTGGATCTGTCTGACTTAAGAGCTTTGAAAAGGCCAGAGAATTCCAGAGAAACTGTCAGAGAAGAGTCCAGACCGCCGCCTCCTGTCCCCTGTCAGTCAGGCCTGTGCCTCTGTCCCGCTGCAGAAAAGACAGCGGCGCCCCGTCAGAGCCAGTTAGGATCGCGTCACCGGGAGCGGGCCGAGAGCCGGTCTCGGCCGACAGCGTGATTTGATCGACTTGGACTGCTGCACTTATTATATTAATGAGAAGGAATTGGAACTTGGGAAAAAAACGCCCTCCTCGGCTGGGCTCTTCCCGAGGCCTCGGAGCAGCTGACCCTGCCACGTGATGGGTGGAAGGAGCCCTCCCAGGGCCTGGCCCCTCTCAGGCCATGCGCCCAGCATCGAAGAGGTGCACATGAGCTGAGGCCCTGCAGGCTCCGCTCACAGCACAGGCTCCCGGAACCAAGGCCTGCCTCCACACCTCCTCGCAGACCCCGAGATGGTGACCGTGCAAAGCCAGGGCCCACGATCGGATCTCCGAGACACAGGGGAAAAACGTCCGTCCACAGCGAGGCTTCGCAAACAGCTGACTAAGTCTCGCACACACGCTCGGTCGGCCGAGAGGCCAAGTTAATTGCCATTGCGTTGTGACTCAGGAAGGACGCAGGGGTCCCTTCACACCCCGCGCATGGGTATGAATTATGCATCTGCCACGACTAATGTGCACCTACTATGTGGGATGCTGTGGTGGCAGCCACGTTGCCCCGGCAACCACCCAGTCTCCTAAGGCTACTGACCCGAGAGCTGGGCTTATGCAAATCCCATCTCCTCCTGCCTCCTCTCCCTCGACCCCCTCCTGCCTCTGTATTTGCTAACACGAGGCTGGCATGAAAGGGCATTAGTCAGTGCCATGGTCGGGCTGACAGGTGCGGTACCCAGCGGTGGCAGAGCGGCTGCCTCCGGGTCAGGCATAGGGGCCCTCAATTG